GTCTCTACTGGCAACTTCATCTAGGAGTTTATCTGAAAGCCCGTTCATGAATACGTCAATAAACGCTTGTTCATTCCATCTAACTTCAGCCGCATGGGTACAGAATTCTAAAGCGTAATCAACAAGAGAACGAGAACCCTGTCTCATACGTAGCAAGGTTTTGGCAGCATTAGTTCTCCTCCCTGGAGGATCAAAAGCCCTCCTAAAAGCTGCGACAAATTCTACATAGTTAAACACTACCGGGTTATCGTTCTCCCACAGAGGATTTGCCCAAGTCAATGCCCTATCGACCAATAAAGTAATGATGTAACCTATCTTTGCCCTATCTGTAGGGTATGCTCTCGGATGAAGCTCAAAATAAATACTGACTTGATTCAAAAAACCTCGGCAGCCTTTAGGATCACCCCCGTAACGGAGAGGGGAGGTAGCATGATTAGGAGTACCCATAGTAACCATTTCCATGGGTTGTTCCTGAGGTCTGAGTACTGGGGTTTGCTCCTCCGGTTGGAGATGGGCAGTACGAGCAAGCAAGGTTTGTACTGCAATAGCGAATTGGTCCATGCGATGGTCCAGTTCCTCAAACCGGTCATCAGGTGCCGGTCCGAGAGGGTTAACACCTGCAGGGTCCATGGCCCTAGTGTAATGTCACGACAGTGACCAAAGTCACAACAGTAACCCCTTCACACAGCGTGAAAACCCACAGAAAGACGGTTACCGGACCTTAGAATGGCCAGACTAGCGTCTGAGAATAGTCAAGAGAAATAGCCAGAGGTCAAGGGAATACAGAAGACGGGCACACGATAATCCAAGCCAAGATACGGGAAACCAGAACACAGAATAGTCAGAGAGGGATAGCCAAGGGTCTAATACCAGGAAGGACAATAAGAAAAGATAGCACCAGGGGACTTTAAACAAGAACCACACTAGGGCATCTGACAAGTGTCATGATAGCCCTTTTTATAGTGTGGGTTCTATGGCTTTAATTTCGTAGCCACGCCCCCAAAAAGTCCGGGAGCGTGGCCACGTTTGAATTTTGGCGCCATTATTACTCTGACGTCGGCGCGCATGCGCCGCGTCATAAATGTGGCCGTGTTCCGAGCGGCCTGCGTCAGAATGTCTGAGCCGCCCCCCGGAAGCATCGGAGGAGGACCTGGCGCTGCGCGGGACCGGCGGGGAAAGGTAAGCGCTTGTTACACAATTGTAGTCTCTACTGGGGCCTCGAAGGGCTTATTGTTCCATGTGTCTAAAGATTGTGTAGGGTGTGGCTGGAGGCGGTGCATGGAGGCGGGACAAGGGTGGTGCTTGCTGCAGAGTATGGGTGGGGCCTGTAAGAGGGCCCTTGATTTATTTTGCGCAGGGCCCTGAGGGTTCTCAGTCCGCCCCTGGATGTAAGTGGGATTTTTAAGCATATCGAGGAGAAGGGAATGAATGATATTGTAACCATGACTCTTTCTCTCATCATAGTGCAAGGGTACAGCTGAGCTCTTGATATAAGACCGACAAGTGGGGTGGGTGTATGGGCTGCTCAAAAATGGGTAAGAAGAGGGTGCAGGGGCTTATTATATATACTCAGGGAGAGGAATAAGGGTTGATGTATGTGCACATGAGAAGAGTGCAAGGGTGTACGGGCTGCTGATAGGAAGATTGCATGGCTGCTGATAGCCATTATATGGGCTGCTCTCTGCACGTTAGAATAGTATGATTAATTATACCCAGTGTCAATGTGAATGTTTTGGATTGATTTTATTGTTACAGCAAATGTTTAATTGCTTTCTGTCATTAGGATTCTGGACAACATCTCCTTCAGCAACATCCTTGTTTTCTCTAAGCAACAGTAATCAGCACGATGAAGGGGCCTCCAGTTATTCAGTTGTCTCATACAGAACATGCATCCAAAGGGCCAATTTCCAATGAAGGTTTTGCTCTGAGTAGTGGTGCCCCTGATAGTGAGATTGATGTTGACTTTGGAACTCCTCATGTAACATCTTTAACCCCAGATCACAGCGAGGTGTCTGGCTATGGAACTGGAGGTGGCTCATCAGATGGAGACGAGGCTGAATTCAAGATTGAGACAAATACTAAAGAGCAAAGTCCATTTGAGAAGTGTCAGAAAATGTCTGAAAAGCATGATGTTATACAACAGTCTGAGGTGGCAAGTTCAGTCAATGATTTGCGTGATTCTTCTCATACCATAACTTGTACCATCACTATTGCTTTTGCCATACCTCCTACAATCACTAAAGGTATTGGTTACAGCTGACATGTAACTGTGTTTTATTGTGCTTACACTACACCATAAACTTTCACTATGAAATATTTTGGTAAATAAAACAGCCAGGACTTTCTGTTTGTACACACAACAAATTTTTATTTCCTTTAGTATCCGAATAATCCATGAAATCATACTTTACACTAGTCAGCTAAAAGCTCTAAAAGTTGCATTAGATAGCAATTAACTGCTTTCTGACTCAAGACAAAATTGAATATTGAAAATGTAATATTTTGACCATATACTTCTCTTTATGTGCTTTGTAGAGAAACCTAGCTAAGTTATTCCCTAATATTAATGGGGTTATTCATTAAGCATTGGATTTTGTCCGGATTGACAAAATCAGGTCAAAGAGACTGAATTCCTAATTGCTTTTTTGCAAGTGAATTGATCATTTGAAGTGCTATTTGCCTAACGAAGATACACTGAGGAGCGTGAGCTGCAGGAATCATTCTGCACTAGCTACATATCTCCCTAATGCATCCTGTTCTGATGCTGGGAACCTGGTTGTGACATTTCCCAGGATAGAGCTCTATAGTCAGTGCTCAGAGTTATCACAGCAGCTCCCCACTGGACCTCAGGGATCATGATTTCAATAGAGAATGTGTTTGTGTGGTTCTGAATTAGTGCCAATAAACTGCAATCTTTGAGTTTGGATTCCAATATTGTTTAATGGGTTAGACAGTGGCCAAGTGACAGGTAACATAGGTTTGTAGTCAATGGAGTATATTCCAAGCAAGGTCTTCTTACCAGAGGGGTCCCTCATAGTTCTGTACTTGGACCCATCCTCTTTAATGTTTTTATTAGTGTTATTCCAAAAGGTCTTTATGGTAAGGTATGTCTTTTTGCTGATGATACAAAGAGTTGCAACAGGGTTGATGTTCCAGGAGGGAAAAGGCAAATGGTTAGAAAGTACAGAGTTGGGGAAACGGCGCTAAAGAAACTAAAACTATAAGGATGGCATATAAGGGGCAGCAAACCTAAAGTAGGTCTCCCTCTATACCCTACTCACAAAAGTAGTAAACAAGGTAAACCGAGAAAGGTTGTGCCACCTTTCTCTGTTTACCTTGTTTACTACATAAGGCAAATGGTAAACAAGAAAAAATGGTAATTTAATATGGATAATTTCAAGATAATGCATTTTGGGCATACAAATCTAAGGACAGAGTATAAAATATTTGATACAGTCCTAACCTCAACATTTGTGGAAAGGGATTTAGGGGTGATTATTTCAGATGACTTAAAGGCAGGCAGACAATGTAATAGAGCAGTAGTAAATGCTAGCAGAATGCATGGTTGTATAGGGCGAGGTATTAGAGGGAAGTGCTAATGCCATTGTACAGAACACTGGTGAGACCTCACTTGGAGTATTGTAAGCAGTACTGGAGACCATATCTTCAGAAGGATGTTGATACTTTGGAGAGAGTTCAGAGAAGGGCTTCTAAACTGGTTCATGGATTGCGGTATAAAACTTACCAGGAAAGGTTAAAGGATCTTAACATGTATAGCTTGGAGGAAAGATGAGACAGGGGGGATATGATTGTAACATTTAAATACATAAAAGGTAATAAACGCAGTAAAGGAGGGGATTATATTTAAAAGAAGAAAAACTACCACACCAAAACAGTCTTAAATATCCGCATTTCAACTTTTTCCAAATAAAGAAGGGTATTTTAACTTCAAAAGACAGTGAGTGCAGGATATCTTTCTACTGTGTTGTACCTATTGACCTTGGCTTATAGCACCCGCAGTATTTAAAGGAGATTTCCCTGAGTGCAAGGATCTACTGGATTATTTATTTATATATATATATATATATATATATATATATATTGTAGAGATTGTAGCCGTATTAGTCCAGTAATGTAGATCCTCTGGGTACTTGCCTAGTATTCCTTAGTCACTCCCCCTTTTGGGGCCCTGTACATGAGCACACCACACTCAGAGATACATTACTACACAAATGTAGGGCAGGCTGTTTCATGGCTCGGTGAGTACACAATTAAGGTGTAATTGGTTTAAGGGTTATGGGTATATATTCTTATGTGTGTACACTTGCATTTTATTATTTGTCCTTATGAGAGCTTCGTGTGGGGGCTGAAACGTTAACACTTTTATATGGATTAAATAAAAGTTAAGTTTTACTTGAAAACTTCAACAAAGACCTTGGAGTGCGGTTCTTTTTGCTACATCTATCTATCTATCTATCTATGTGTGTATGTATGTATATAGTGTGTATATACATATGCATACATATACATATGTATGTACATATACATATATATGGGTCTATGTATGTGTAGGTACATGTATTGGTGCTTGTGTGTGGATGTGTGTATGTACATATATTCAGGCATTTGGTTTTATCTATAAGTATATTGTTGTATGTACTTGTGTATACTTGTACATATGCACTACTTGTGTATATGTACATGTGTGTAAGTGTGAGTGTGTGCGCGTCTGTCTGTATGTTGGATATAGGCCTTCATGCATATCCTGTAACACTTGGCTGGGAATTCATGCATTCTTAATTTTAGTAATTTTTTTTTTACTCTCATCATCTCCTGCACTGTTTGCATGTTTTGGGTTTTTTCTCTCTCTATGCAAGAATGCTGCCTGTTCTCTATCAAACCTGTGTCTTATCTTCACTCATGTCGCTTTAACACTTGTATCACAACTCAACTTTTAATTTTATGTGTCATCTTGCTCAGAGTTGCTTTAGACTTGAGAAAGGGAGGTTCTCCTGAAAGCTTGCCATTAAAAGATGTTGTTAGTCCAATAAAAAAAAAAAAAAAATATATATATATATATATATATATATATATATACACACCCACAGGTCTTCTTGTTGCAGTAAAGGCTTACATTTTATTCTATTTTACAGACAAGCAAAGTTGACGTTCTGAACCTCCTCCATCTGTTCTTTCTCACGACTAGAGAAATGGCCGATAGAGGTCCGAAACATCGAATATATATATATATATATATATATATATATATATATATAGAGAGAGAGAGAGAGAGAGAGAGAGAGAGACACCTTTCTGTCTTATCATTGGCCATATGTGACACCTCATTTATTACTTGAATGTATATGGGGATGGTTGTTTCAGTAACTAGATCTTGTTATTTGCAGATGATCCCACCCAAGACACTAAAAAAAATCCAAAACAGCAGAAGAAGCTAATAGACTCTCCCCGGGCTCAGGAATATTACCATTTTGAGTATCATCTGCTCCCAGAACACACAGAGCCAACAAAAGCGGATGTGGTACTGTTCGGTGTTGTGGCCAAGCTCTATATAGAACATGAAACACAGGTATGTTTAAAATCCAGTTACTGTGCCAAAATTGTATTGCCAGTTTTTCAAATAAAAAAAAAAGCATAATTTGCACTGAATTACGATCTGGCATATTCCTAGTGCATGGGTGCAATTATTTTGTTATTACTTATGTATGTTTTTTTATTAACCTTAAACATAGCTTTATTTTAATCTGAAAGTATGCACTTTTTTGGATCCAAGTCTCTTTCCGTGTATCCCAACTTGTTTTAAATTTTAGTTTTTCTTCCTTAGTTACTTAAACCATGGTTTGATGAAAATGGCAGACTCTGGTTGGTATGGAGCCACAAGATTGAACTCTGTGTTACAAAAGACACCATACTTAAAGCATTAATGCATCAGATCCAGGTGAAAATCTGGGACACTAAAGACAAAGTGTCACCAAGAGCCCGATTTGATAGACCAAAAGCTTTTAGATTATCTCAGTATGGACAAGAGGATGACTCAAAAGGTATTTCTGCTATATTTTCTTTGTGATGCAATAAACCCCATCTCTGTGTACGTTAATTATAACTGGACAATTACAGTGAACCAGCACTTTTAGTTTTGTTTTAGTTAATTGCAACCCTCTAGCAATAGTATAACAAAATATAGAGTCACAAAAACAAATTATCAGTGTAGCAGATCCCTAGTCCTAGCAGGGACTCTCCGATGGATCCACTAAAGTATAATCAGGAACAATAAAACAGCCAATGAATACCACACCTCCTCCACAGTAACTGGGAGTACAACTGAAGATTATTGTCACATAAACGGCTTTTATGCCCAGTCCCATGCAAGGGGTTTTACACACAATAATGCAAGGGTTTCAGTCCCAGGATCCTCTGTGCCTGAGAGATAATTGCCTGAGAGAACTCCTCTAATTTAATTATCTGCCAGGTACTGAAAATCCAACAAAATATCCTGTACTCCAAAAATACCACAACCATACCCCAGAACCCCACGAAAAGTACATTCCCCGATAGCCCCGATCTGAGTGTCCAACACACCCAAGAATTCCTCAGATCGGTTCTGCAGAACGGGACTGCCATCGTGGTAAAGTTTTGACCGGTCAGGCACGAGGCGCTAGCCTAAGAAGTGCCAGGGAAATGGGTGCCCTGGTCGGTCTCCATTCGTGAGGTTCTTGTGCGAACACCATACAAGGGAATCTCTTTATTTCAGGATACGAATGCCCTTGCCTGTTCGGTAGTTCATATTTCCCGAACGTTGTTCATGTAGGTGGTCGGGAACTGGAACGGGCAGTGGTTTAAGGTTGCGTTCGCGCAAGTGCCTAGCCGAAAAGAGTTACAGGTACTCCACAACCAAGTACCGCTGCCCACGTTCGGGAGACAAGATGGCCACCATTCTCTCTGCCATGTGTTCGGCTACACGAAATGGCGGCCACCCAGGGGAAGTACTTATTGTTTCCTTTGCGGTTTCGCACTTACAGAAGTGGTCCTCGTTCGAGAAATGAAGGGATTCTGTTTGTGTGACATCTCCCGAACGTCCAAAGAGGAACCCCACAAAACAACAGGGGGAAAACAAATGAAAGGTGGAAGTTCTGCTACAGGGTTTTATGGACAGCCGAAAAAGGGGAATAAAAAGTGTCTAGCAAGCGTCCATTCCGCTACAATCAGAAGGGAATTTTATTCCATCAGTGTGGACTGGGTAACATTTTGATCTGAAATGCAGGGTTTTTGTCAAGCCTTTACCTGGTGAAATAAAATGTCCTTCTGATAATTTGGAGTTACGATTCCATACTTTCTTCTGAACATTAAACAGTTAACACAAATCTAATTTTTTTTTATTTATTTTTTTAAAAAACAGCATTGTATATTTTACACTCAGCTATGATACATGACCATTGCAATTTACAAGTTACTATTAATAATGGACAGTATGTGCACTAATTATGGAGACATTCTAATAGGATTATAATATTTGTGCATTTATTAGGGTCTCTGCCCTGTAGACCCAGTGTTACAGTGTTACATACACAAGCATGTAGGATGAGAATATAGGAATAAAGGAATGCTATTATAAACAAGTTGGCACATGCCGGTCATATAAAATTATTATGTATAATAAATTGGATGGGGTGATATATAGAAAAGTGTGCAAGAAGGAGGATTGTGAAATTAATGATGTGTTTATAGGTATGATGACCTTTCAATGATTTTAGAAAGGAGTAAGAGGAGTTTTAGAGAGAGGAACAATGATTGAAGAGACAAGGAAAGTTAATGGAAAAAGTTAAACAAATTAAAAGTATCCTGTTTTGTTTGTTAGTTCATAGTAGAGAAATAATGTATTCATGCCTTTACCTTGCATTCAAGCATAGATCATCCCTGCAAGTATATATGCTTTTCCAATTTGTTGTTGTATGTGCTTCTATAGTAGAAGTAAGTAATAGCATAATTGAGACATTAGGTGGGTCAAAAAGGCAAAGAGAATATCAAAAATGCTACAGGCTTGGTAAGTAAACAGTTACTTGTGGTATCTTTGCATTTTTTACAAAGACCTTCTGGGTTAACACGATGACTTTCTCAACAGCACTTTCACCTTTTTCCCTATCTCAATCTTCATCTCTTCATGAGCTTTGTAGCATCTTTATCTCCAAGGATCTGAGCCACTGGTAATGAGTCACAGTACAAATATGGTGGTTTTTTGAAGATCATTTTGATCCTGTCAGGAATCTTACCTGATGTGGAGTCCGGTATGCAGAGATATACACTCACCCTTGAAAATAAACACAGACCAAGGGAATTTTAAAGTTCCACTAGGATGTGTTGGAACTGTAAGAAATGTTAAAGTTCCAATAGGAGGTGGGGATGGAGCTAAAGCCAAAGACTATCAGTGTCATTAGGAAGAGAATATATAGATAAAAGGGAAGGGTAACTAGAAAAAGCATTGTTGGACACATTCTGAAAAAAAGCTATATGTATGTATTTTAATGGTCATATAATGCAGCTTTTTGCCACTAGGAAGTAGAAAACAAGGAAAAAAAGGCAAATTAGCAATGAATTCATATAAATTCCTGGTTTTATGGCAACATTTTTTATATTTTTTGTTGGTTTTGGTTTTCTTTATAACTAACAGGGTAAGTTATAACTAACTTAAGTAAGAATTCAGAATTGATATGGTCAGAGTAACCAAACTAAAATTATAGCTGACTTGGAGAATTGTTTTCAGTTTGACTATTCTGACTTTAGTAAATAACAATGTAAGTAGTTTTTCTGTGTTCACTCCAGCCCTGCCTCATAAATATGGGTAAATTCTCCAGAAAGGGTTGAAATAATTTATCTCTTTCTCTTTGCTGCAGTGAAACTATTAATCACGAGTCAAAGAAAACATTTTGCAGATGGCCAACCCAGACCTAGTTTCATTCTTCATTCAGACCGGGATGCTGTAGTGTCACGGAGAAATCTCAGCTCACAAGGTAGATATGCATCACTTAAATTGAGGTGAGGCTGCCTAGTCTAATTCTAAGGAAATGTGTTCTAGAGATAGGAAATGTGATGAACACTTCCATTAATTAAAATATGTTCCTAACTATTATTCATGGCAGCATCATTATGTCCAGAGCAGGACAGGAAATACTGTAGTTAAAGTGTCAGGATACACTAATATGCCCAACACGCAGAACTTAAGTAAAAATAAAGAAAACCCTATGGCGTATTACCGGGCCTTAGAACGGCCGGATTTAACGTAAAAAAAGAAAAGTACAAGACAGGCTGAGGTCAGGAATACAGAGTATATGTAAACGGTAGGTAACGAACACTCGGATAACCAGAATGAAAACCACGACAGGGTACAGAGAAATGAACGAAAAAAGTTTAAATAGCCTAAGATACTCTTTGATTGGCTGCAGAGGAGCATATGACAGTGGAACATGTGTGTGTGACCTCACACACGTTCCCAGTAGTAATGCACGTTCCCTTTAGGGTTTGTAGCGAAAGTAACCTTGCCACTGGTTCTTGGAGGGGCCTGTTTGCCTGCCTCCTGCCCTCTGACTTTGGCCCCTGTGATAAAACTTGGTTAAAACCACTGTTTGTGCCTTTTGCACTTCTGACATTACTTACTCAGTGACACTTCGAACTCCCGAAATGGCACTTCGAACAACCGCACAAACCAGAGACCAAACTGGAGCTTGTTAACACCTATTAACAACTTGGAACGTTCTCACCGCAGTGTTCTAATTGTTCGTCTGGGTGGCAGCAATTCCTATAGACCACAACAAGGTGGCGGCCATCTTGTTCGCATGAACGCAGGCAGCAGTGTTTGGGCATGAATCTCATGGAACTAAAATAGGGCACAGAAACTCCATCATCGCATGCGTTCGGTGCTATACAGTCTAAAGGGGCACTGTTCGGTGAAATCATTTGTCTGGATGAGGGGAACAAGCTCCAGGGTAAGCCTATTGACTATGTTCGTGTCAGGGATCTTACCTGGAGTGGGAATCCGACATGCAGAGTTAAAGCACCCTTTGCAATTATACACAGACCAAGGGGACTCAAGGTAGAAATCCCCAAGGCTGTGAACCAGTGCACTGTTTCACTGCTTTGGGGTTTTCTGCCTTAAGTCCCCCTGGCTTGTGTCGTATTGCAAAGGGTGCTTTAACTCTGCGTGTCGGACTCCCACTCCATGTAAGATCCCTGACAGTTCGGTAGTTTGTTCATTTTCAAACTACCGAACTAGACCAAATGCAAGCCCTGATTCCCTGGAACTGTTTTGGGCCTGCGAGCGGTCAAATAAATGACTTTCAGGAAATACCTGAACCCCTGAACTAATCAGGGTGATTTTTGGATATGCATGTCACCAAGATCAGGGCTATCAGGGGACATAACATTTGTGGGGATATTATGTGTTTTGGGGTACTTTTGGGGTTTTATAAAAATATGTGTTTCTTTTCTGCCTGTAGATAATTGAGTTAATACAGTATCTGACTCGATTATCTCCCAGGCAGAGGGGAGGGATTGTGTGCTGTGTGTGGGAGTGTCATGACTTGTAACCTTATTGTTATTGGTCTGTGACGTTGTAAATCAGTCTACCATCAGGTCCATGTGGGCGTACCCCTTGCATGGGGATTGTCATATAAGGCCAAGTGTGGCACCATTAAAATCAGTTCCTCTTCAGCCTCAACATAGAGCCTCGTCTCATGTGTGGAGGGGACAGCTATATTCACTATGGGGATTGCTATACTCATTATACTCCCCTGGGTTCTAATCACTAGCTCTTATAAGAGCTGTTCCTGCTATACTCTCTGGAAGCTGGATCCTGGTCTTGAGGAGAGGAGTCCTGTCAGTGAGGCCAGTGGGTGCCACAGGAGTAGCTGAGTAATTGGCGGCATACCCATTGCCATGTGGGAATGCCGCAACAGGATGTTCCTGCCGCGTCTCAGTCTGCTCTCTGGCAGGAGTGGACACTGCAGGTGCTGTGACTAGGAGTAAGTATTCAGCGGCATTCCACTTGCTATGTGGGAATGCCGCCGCAACGAGACGTTCCTTACGGGTCCTAGAGCACTCTGGCAGGAGCGGACCCAGCGGGCGGCGTGACAAAGAGACTGCATGCTTTAAAGGTCTCTCCTGCTTCTGTACTGCCGTCTGTTACAAAGCAAATAAATAAATGGGAGGAAGACTGATGCAGCCATGGATAATAGCCAGGAAAAGAAAATTACAGTAATTATGTCAACATTTTCCTTATCCCTGGCTAATCTTGGCAGCATCACTTATGGGTAATACCCAAGCATGATTCAAAAAAGGGTGGGTAAAATATCAGAACTCAAATCTAGGATGCAAATAAATTATATTTTATTCATATGAGAAACAGAAGAAAAAACTCCTTTGCCAAGAGATGTAGAGAAAAGGCCAGGCCACATTTGCAATGTTTAATGAAGATCACAGGAGAAGCGAGGTGGCTGCGCCTTAGATTTGCCATCTGGAGGAACCTGTGTCCAATTAGCCCAAGAAATTGCTACCTGGTGGAATGTGCCTTAATTGTGTCAGGAGGAGTACGTTGGTTCTAAAGATTTGTCTCTGAGATCACCACCGAAATCCAATGCCTTAGGTTGAAGATGAAGCAGCTTGACCTTTAACAACACCGGAGGGGGCTTCCAGAAGTCTCATCAGGAGAAGATGGAGTTAAAAAAAATGGTAGGACCACTTCCTGAAGAAGAGACCACTTTGGGCAAAAAGTATTTCCTGGGTTTCAAGATCACTCTGTCGGGAAATATAAATGTATGGCAGTCGTCACTTGAGAAGGCCTGATACTGAGGCCTTTCTTCAGACCTGTCTGAAGGAATTCCAATACCCCTAAGTGAGAGGAATGTAAAAATATATATATATATATTTTTTTTTTTTGATTCTTTGTTTTTGTTTGCACATGAGAACAAAGCAGCGTAATCTGCTATGCCCCAACAGCATAAACAGAGATTTTGCAACATTCTAATACAGTTGGTTAGCATAGTGACAAAATAGCACATTTTATGAATAACTGCATACTACATGGACAGTGACATGTGGATAAATGCAAGTAATAAAGCGGAAACGGCATGGTGCACATCAAAGCCATTGTAAATGTTAGAACTAATAGAATGGTAAAGTATATTATAAATTAAAATATAACGTTGAAAGTTGAGGTGTAATGAGCTGAGATTAGGCGATAGGGCTAGTGGGACTATTCTTGGAATTTTATAGGTACACAATTTGGTGTTGGTTGATCGCTAGAATAAATGTGGGATCTGAAGGTGTCGAGGCCGTGGAGAGCTGCTATATTGTGGCGAGAGCCGCCAATTGTCTCCTGCTTAGTTGTAGGTGGAGAGTACTGTGTAGTGCCACGGAATAGAGGGATATGGGATATAAGCCAGTGTAAGTAAGCGTAGTTTGTGGCGATACCGTGGTAAGCCAGGGTGGTAGCTGTGCCCAATGACCTGGACATCTTTTGGGGGGCGGGGGGGTGTGGGAGCTTATGGAGGGTCAGCTCCAAATCTAATGCTTGCCGTTAGTATTACACAACATATTAAAAATAAGAGAAATTAAATGAAACAAAATTAAGTATAGCGACATCTGAACATAACTTGAAAATGCATATGACAGACAGCTATTATGAAAAATTGAACGTGTGGGTTCGACAAAGTTCTGGGTTTAGAACTTGCTTTCTGGAGGCTTCACGTTCCCTGGCGGCCCATGTCTCAGCCGAACAAGGCCCCTCATCCTGTGTACACTCCAGCACTGGGTATGAAAGGGACAATATTCTGCAGTTCCCAGGTTTTGTGTGCAGTCGATGTGGAGGCAGTTTTTCTCTGCCAGGCCCAGCTGTGCTAGGAAGGCATGAGGGGCCTCCTCAGCTGTGAATCGGAAGGTAGTGCAGTCTTTAGTGGCGGTGAGGGTGTGGGATGGCCCCCATCTGTAGGCATTAATATCTAAACCGTTGGCATCAAAAGTGAGTACACCCCTAAGTGGAAATGTCCATTTTCCCTCCCAGGTGTCATGTGACTCCTTAGTGTTACAAGTTTAGGTGTGAATGGGAAGCAGGTGTGTTAAATTTGGTGTTATCACCAATTTACAAAGACAAGTGTCTACAGTCAAGTATGGTGGTGGGAGTGTCATGGTCTGGGCCTGCTGCCGGCACTGGGAGCTACAGTGCATTGAGGGAACCATGAATGCCAACATGTAGTGTGACATACTGAAGCAGAGCATGATCCCCTCCCTTTGGAGACTGGGCCACAGGGCAATATTCCAAAATAACGACCCCAAACACACCTCTTAGACGACCACTGCCTTGTTAAAAAAGCTGAAGGAAAAGGTGATGGACTGACCAAGCATGTCTCCAGACCTAAGCCCTATTGAGCATCTGTGGGGCATCCTCAAACGGAAGGGGGGGAATGCAAGGTCTCTAACATCCACCAGCTCTGTGATGTCGTCATGAAGGAGTGGATACTGTATAACGGTGAATATGCATCCTGACTTCTTGGAGTCCAAAGTAAAAATAATCTGCTTGTCAGACAGCCACCAAATGCGATCTTACCTTGATCATGTATTGCACATCAGGAAATATCTCTTTTTAGCACTAATTTATTTATTGATTCAGTGTTTAAAGGGACACTAATGTCACAGAACAACTGCAGCCTAGTTTATTTGTTTTGGTGAGAAGATTCATTACCCTCAGGCTTTTTGCAGTAAACATTGTCTTTTAAGACAGTGATAACTCCACTGGCCACTCATCAGATGGCTGCTAGAGGTGTTTCTTGGGGCAGTGCTCCACACTGTGCTGCACACTGTGCAGTACTGCCATTAGGTGTCTCCGCCGTCTGCATGCAGACACTGAACTTTCCTCATAAAGATGCATTGATTCAATGTATCTCTATGAGGAGATGCTGATTGGCCAGGGCTGTGTTTGACTTGTGCTGGCTCTACCCTTGAACTGCCTCCTTGACAATCTCAGCCAATCCTATGGGAAAGCATTGTGATTGGCTCACAGAATCACTTCTGATGATGTCAGGCATGCAGACAGATCAGGGGCAGAGCCATCAGCAGCAGACTTGAATACAAGTAAGATTTTAGTAGATTTAGGGAAGCAAGGTGGGGTCAGAGGGGTCTAGATGGGGGTTTTAACACTATAGGATCAGCAATACATGTTTGTGTTCCTGACCCATTTCCTTTAAATCTCTTAAGTCTCCATAGTCAAGGTTTCTTTATCATTTTGGCCAGTCTCCTATTCCAGCCAAACCAGAACCCAGGGATCTTGATGAGTTCAGTTTTCATGGAAAAGGGAAGAGGGTCTGAGTCAGAGAGAATAATAGTCTAACTTTCTGAAGTTGATTTCTGCTCTGGGAACCTTGCTGAAGTCATTAAAGTTTCTTGACGATGCCCTCACAGCTTAGGGCAGTAAGTAGTGCAACCATCGATTTAGAACAAGCACTTCTTTTCCTTGGCTTACTGGTGTGGTGATCCCTCTGATTGCTGGATTCCTTCTGCATTTATTATTATTATTTTGTTATATTATTTATAAAGCACCAGCAAATTCTGTAGCTCTGTACTTGGCAAACAGCTCTATGCTGCAGACGAAATGCACAGGTGAGAAAGCAGCCTTACCTTATAACTGACAAAATTTTGAATGGGTTAGTCTTCAAGGCATTCAATAGCACAATACTGTAAATATCACAATCCATTACCTTTGACTTAATGGATTGGGTTGGTAATGAGAACAGGTCAGGGCCAATAAGGTAACACAGCTGGTAGACACTCTCAGAGTTCCCTGTTGTGCATTAAAGTGGCACTGCCATGCCAAACTTACTTTTCCCCAATCGATTCCTCTTCTCTCCCTCTGTCAGGATCTATTCTTCATTTCTTCCTGTCTACTCTAGTAGGGATTATTTGCTCTTATGGAGGTTTCCTAGACCTGGCCATCTCTGACCAGTGGAGGAACAAAGTGTGCTCTGTTTACTGTGGTCAGAGAAATGCTCCCACAATTCTTACCTTTCCTCTGTGATCTCGCAATGCTTCCTGTTAGTATTCCGGAACGTCCTGTTACTTAGACAGAACGCCGGCAGAACTACCGAATTTCGTCCTAACAGAATGAGAACAGTTTCTCCATTTGTGTTAGGATGCAATATCGGGACTTTGTTCGGATCGGAATTTCATTCGAATAACTTCCTAATTCCCACGGTATCAGGCAGCTATCTACGAAAAGGCTGAAACACCTAAATTGGTCTTTCAGTCAAATTTATGAATACCAAGTAAAGATTATTTAGTATTAGTAAATTCTGCCTCTACTTGCTATATCGCAAGTAGGGTCATGTCTAGCAAACATTTTCAAAGTTTGGGTATTATGGATTTTTATTTGGCCTTTTTTGGGGCTGAAAAAAGATTAGAGAAAAAGAAGACATCAAATGGTAAGTTTGTTTTATTTACAGGTATTCAGTTTTATTGTTCCCCCCCTCACTATTTTTAGGGTGAGGGGGGTAGGCAGGAATTAAATCTTTTTGGGTGGGAGGGGGTGACTAGGGGATTGGGGACACCTAGTCACCTGGGGGGGTGTACATTTAGCCCCCAACCGCCGCCCATGGGTGTGGGACGGGGGGCGAGGACAGTAGATCTCCCCCACCTCATTGTCATTTAAAGCCCCCACCCATCGCCCATGGGTGGGTTCTGGAGGGGGAGGACAACAGGCCCACCCCCCATTTTCATTTAGTGGGCCTATGGGTTTTGATGCCTTCTGTAGTGCTACATTTAGCCCCCAACTGTTCAGGTGTCACACAGTAGTGGCAGTGATTACATTTGATATACAGCACAGCAACAGCGTTTTAGCCAATCAGGTGATCAGGACAGCCGTGTAACTCGTGGCAGCCCTGATCACCTCAGATTTTAAAATGGCAACGTTGATGGAGGATTCCATTTCTGTGTCTGCCACACATACGGTGGATGTCTCTCCTAGAGACAGCCCCATCAACGTTAGAAGGCTCCATAAGAGAGCCTTCCTTGCCAGGGACAAATCCTCTTTGTCACGGCTGCTAGTGTGGTCCAACACGCAGAAACTATGTAAACATATACATAAGAAAGGAAAGGAAATAAAAGGACAGAGCGTAAACCGGACATTAGAATGGCCAGACTAATACGCTAGAGATAGAGAATGGTCAAAGGGAAAGCCGAGGTCAAGGATGCCAGAAATACTCAGATACCGGTTAAACAAGCCAAGTCAGGGTTACCAGATTTCGGAATAACCAGGGAAAAGCCAAGATCAGGATACCAGGAAGTCAGATACACAAAGATAAACGCAGTCTCAGGAACCAGGAACAAGAAACCACGACAGGGCAAGGAACTGGAGTGAATTTGGGATTTAAATATCCCTCTCTGGTCTCTGATTGGTCAGAGGGTGACCTCTGACCCCAGAATGTCACGTTCACGTTCGTATTAATTTGAGGGGCAGAGCTTGAGATGGACGCGACCACGTGGTCAGCGCCATCTTTGATTTGGACGCGACGCCCAGAGAACGCGAAGGAGCGGTTCCCGGCTCGCGGACGAACAGGTAAGCTCGTGATGTCGGCGAGGACGTGCGGTGGCCCGGGAGCCGCAACAGTACCCCCCACTCGAATACCGCTCACCGGGCGGGAAGAAGCCGGCTTAAGAGGGAAGCGGTTGTGAAACGACCGGACAAGACGGGGCGCATGAACCCAGTCAGCAGGAACCCAACCTCGTACTCCTCCTGGTCACCCACTACCAAGGGCGGAGGAGGAGCAGTAACTCTAGTGTATCGATTGCAAGTAAGAGGCTTGAGTAAGGATACATTAAATTAATTGGCAATTCTCATGTGGGCAGGGAGTGCCAAGGAATAAGTCACAGGGTTAATACGGTGGAGGAACCGAAAAGAACCTATGTACCGAAGGGCAAATTTCATGGAAGGAACCTTAAGTTTGATATGACGTGTGGATAACCACACCTTGTCTCCTGGTTGATAGACAGGATTGGCACCCCGTCTCTTGTCAGTTTGGATTTTAGCACGTTTTGATGCCTTCTGTAGTGCTATATGAACGGAATCCCAAGTGTCATGAATAGAATTTAAATGAGTGTTCAAGGCAGGAATATCCGTGTCTGAAAATTCAGAAGGGAAAACAGTGGGGTGATAACCCTGATTTACAAAAAATGGACTATGATTAGAGGATTCATGAGTCGCATTATTCCTGGCAAACTCAGCCATGGGTAAGAGTTCATACCAGTTAGACTGATTGACATCGATAAAACAACGTAAATAAGATTCTAAGGACTGATTGGCCCTCTGCTGCGCCATTAGCCTGAGGGTGATATGCTGAGGAAAATGAAAGTTCTATACCCAATTGCTTACAAAAGGCATGCCAGAACCTAGAAATAAATTGGGTACCTCTGTCAGATGCTATGTTTTTAGGCACTCCATGTAACCGAAAGATCTTTCAAAAATATTTGTACAAGATCTTGAGCAGATGGTAATCTTTTAAGAGGTACAAAGTGTGCCATTTTTGAGAATCTATCTATGACCATAAGGATTGTGTTAAATCCGTTTGATCTGGGCAGATCCACCATGAAATCCATGGCTAAATGGGTCCATGGCGCATTAGGTATAGGCAGTGGTTGTAACAACCCAGGAGGTGATTTGTGGGAGGTTTTAGAAACGGCACATATTTGACATGCCCCTACATATTCTTTGATGTCGTTCCTAAGTGTAGGCCACCAGAACCTCCCGGAGATAGCAGAAAGAGTTTTATGGACTCCAGGATGACCTGCTGTCAGATTATCATGGAATAAACCAAGTACCTTTGTCCTTAACGGTGGTGAAATGTACAGTTTATCCGGAGGTCTCTCCACGGGTTTGATCTGCTATTATAGCACAGAAGAGTGGAGAAGACACTTCGGAAACTGTAGTAGCAATAAGGCATTCTGGAGGTATGATAGGGAATACCTCATGTTCAGGAATCTCATCTGTCTCAAACTGCCTAGACAGTGCATCTGCCTTGGTGTTCTTGTCCCGGGCCTATAGTTAATTAAAAAATTGAATCGGGAGAGGAACAATGACCATCTAGCCTGACGAGAGGACAATCTCTAAGCGTCCCCAATATAAGCCAAATTCTTATGATCAGTAAAAATCAGAAGTGGCTCTTTGGAACCTTCTAAGAGATGCCTCCATTCTTTAAGGGCAAGTACAATGGCCAATAATTCCCTATTCCCAATGTCATAATTTCTCTCTGCAGGTGTTAGTTTTTGAGAGAAAAACCCACAGGGATGTAAAGGCACATCAGGACATTCTCTTTGAGACAGAATGGCTCCTACTCCTGTTTCTGATGCATCTACTTCTAGAATAAATGGTTTAGTTGGATCGGGATGTGTCAGGACAGGTGCTGAGGCAAATAAAGATTTTAATTGCTCAAATGCCTCTTTTGCTTCCTTGGGCCATGAATTGCAATTTTCTCCTTTTTTGGTTAGGTTGGTAATAGGAGTGATTACAGAGGAAAAACCTTTAATGAACTTGCAGTAATAATTCGCAAAACCTATAAAGCGTTGTGTAGCTTTAAGGCCTTTGGGTAACGGCCATTGTAAGACTGCTTCCAACTTGCGTGGGTCCATTTTGAAACCAGACGGAGATAAAACGTATCCAAGAAACTGTATCTCGGTCTGGTCAAACTGGCATTTCTCCAGCTTACAGTAGAGGCCGTTCTTTAACAGGATTTTTAGTACTATTCTCACATGTTCGTGATGTGTCTCTAGGTCTGGGGAATAGATGAGAATGTCATCTAGATACACTAAAACGAACATGTGGATACTCTCTAAGGACATCGTTAATGAAATCCTGAAATACCGCTGGAGCATTGCATAGTTCAAACTGCATAACTAGGTAATGTCCCATTCTCGTATTAAACGCAGTCTTCCACTCATGCCCTTCCTTAATTCTGACTAGGTTGTAAGCACTTCTGAGGTCGAGCTTAGTGAAGACTCGGGCTCCTTTCAACCTGTCGAATAACTCAGAAATAAGGGGAATGGGATAGGCATTTTTTTATTGTTATTATATTCAAACCCCTATAGTCTATACAAGGACGTAGGTCTCCTTCTTTTTTAGAAAAGAAGAAGAACCCAGCCCCAGCAGGTGAAGAGGATCTACGTATGTGACCCTTTCTGAGAGCATCCGTTATGTACTCTTCTAAACAAAGATTTTCTTTTAGGAGGCATAGTGCCTGGTAACATGTTTATGGCACAGACGTAGGGTCTATGTGGTGGTAATACCTCCGACTGAACTTTGTTGAATACTTCCTGTAAGTCCAAATACTGCGGTGGGATTTCTGTGGTTAAGGGTGGCGCTATAGGTATATTGATGGTACCAATAGGTTGTGGCACCTGCTTTAAACAAACACCTCTGCATCTCTCACCCCAATTCACGATTTCTCCTTCAACCCAATCTAAACGTGGATTGTGTTTCTGGAGCCAAGGGAAACCGAGTATTATCGGGCATGTAGGTGAAGATATAATTTGAAAAATCATTTCCTCAGAATGTAGAATTCCCACTGAGACCGTGATCGGCAGGGTTTCGTGTGTGATGAGAGGCTGGGTAAGGGGTCTCCCATCGATAGCCTCTATTGCTATGGGTCTATCTTTCTGCCTTAAAGGACCACTCTAGTGCCAGGAAAACATACTTGTTTTCCTGGCACTATAGTGCCCCGAGGGTGCCCCCACCATCAGGGTGCCCCTCCCGCCGGGCTGGATGGCGAGGAAAGGTGTTAAACTTACCTTTTTTCCAGCACCGGGCGGGAAGCTCTCCTCCTCCTCTCCGCCTCTGATCCTCCTCTTCTGTTGAATGTGCATGCGCGGCAGGAGCTGCGCGCGCATTCAGCTGGTCTCATAGGAAAGCATTTACAAAGCTTTCCTATGGACGCTTGCGTGTTCTCCCTGTGATTTTCACAGTGAGAAGCACGCAAGCGCCTCTAGCGGCTGTCAATGAGACAGCCACTAGAGGATTTGGAGGCTGGATTAACCCATTTATAAACATAGCAGTTTCTCTGAAACTGCTATGTTTATAAAAAAAAAGGGTTAATCCTAGAGGGACCTGGCACCCAGACCACTTCATTAAGCTGAATTGGTCTGGGTGCCTAGAGTGGTCTTTTAAGGGCAGGAGATATTTAGCAGAGAATTCCTTGTCTAGAAAATTTTCTGCTGCCCCAGAGTCAATCATAGCCTCACACTGTACAGCGGTTTTCTTACAAGACAAAGTAACTCTTATAAGGAAACGGTTCTTAGTCTATTTAGGGGACATATACATTACACCTAAGGTGCGCAAGTTTTCCGGCCGAACCGGACATGAAAATCTTTGATGTCCCCTTTTGCCACAATACAAACACAACCCCTCGTTGCGTCTGTGTTGTCTCTCTACCTCAGTGAGTTTAGCAGTGCCCAGTTGCATGGGTTCAGGTTCTGGAGGTGGAGCATGGCTAATTACCACTGGGTTAGAAAAAACGAGGGGCTATGGATAAGTTAGAACGTCTAGTACGTTGTTTGTTTTTCTCTCTTTCTCTGAGCCTGTTGTCAATGTCTATCATTGAAGTAATAAAGTCATTAAGGTTAACCGGAAGATCTCTGGCTGCGGTCTCATCTTGTATATTCTCTGCTAAACCTTCGGAGAAGGCAGCCACCAAACCGCTATTGGTCCAGTCAACCTCAGACGCCAATGTCCTGAACTGTATGGCGTAATCAGCTATAGAGCGGTTGCCTTGTTTTATTCTCATTAGGACTCTGGCAGCATTCTTTTCTCTCCCTTTTGGCTCAAAAGTAGCTTTAAATGCTGTTAGAAATACATTGTAATCACGGGCTACTGGATTGCCACTCCCCATAAGGGATTAGCCCAGGTTAAAGCCTTACTCGTTAATTGGTTCATTAGATAGCCAATTTTCGATCTATCTGTAGGGAACGAACCAGGGGAAGCTTCGAAGTGGTATTCAATTTGGTTTTAAAAAACCTCTAAATTCCTTAGAATCGCCTCTAAAATGAGTGGGAGGTGAAAGGGTTATGGACGGTGGTTTGTGTGCCACAGGTGCTACTACATGTGGTGGAGCCACAGGTGGTACAGGAGGTGCCTCCAGATAGGCAGTTCTCTGGAGCAAGGTCTGGAATGCTTGGGCAAACTGATCTAACCTGTGGTCCATACCCTCCACCCTACTCTCACAGGCAATCATATGTTTGCATAGTTCTGCAGGATCCATGGCCCTGTCGGAGCAGGTAAGCTCATGATGTCGGCGAGGCCGTGCCAGTCGGGCACGGCTGCACCAAGCGGCGGACCAGGAGCAGCAACACTCTTCGTCTTCTGAGGAGGATATAGTCCCAGTTAGTAAAAGAAAAAAGGCTTGCCTTTCCTCTTCAAGTTCTGAGGATGAATTTAATTTTGGTCCCTCTTACCCTCATTCTCGTTTAAGTAGTCAACATTTTAAAGGGACAGTACCTCCAAAACCGAAACATGCTTTTCCCTTGTTAGAGGTTTCAAAGTAGTTTTCTCACAAAAGGGACAAGACTCGTTTGAGGGCTGTCAGTCCCTCACCGTCCACCTCAAGAGCGTTTGCTCATTCATCCTCCCTAAGCCGGTCCTGCTCCAGACAGGGATCACCGGAGATTGATTGGGAGTGCGAGGAGGTGGTTCGCTCTGCAGCTTCCACTGAACGAGGGAAATTGAGCAACATTCAGATGGACAGAGTAAGCCTTTTAGGTAAAGTGCTCCCTTCAAAATTATTCCATTCAAGATTGGCCATCGAGCAAGAATCAGAAGTCAGGGATTTTGCCAAACTAGCTTTCAGATCACCGCTAGTTAAAGAGGATGATCTCCTCCTTAGAAATCATATTGGTATCCCTGACATTCAGGCCCCTGAAATTGATCCAGCACTGTTATCCATTACAGAAAGCAGTGTTTCTGCGGATCCCATGGATCAGACATTGCGCAATGTATAATTTAAAATTGCGGATGCTGTTGGTCCTCTGCTACTTATGTTGGATAAGGCAGAGAAGGAGGGATCCTCTCATAACCCTTCCCTACTAGCTTTACTGGCTTCTAAGATGGCAGTTCTAAAAGCTTCCAGCAGAGCAGTGCTTATTATCGGTCAATCCTTCAACTAGATTTCTAACATTCGCAGAACCTGCTGGCTGCATGCAGCAGGGATGTCTGATTTAGCACCTAAATCACATGAATTCTCTAATTTTGAAAACTCCTTTCTATTTGGCCCCTCTTTTATACAAGAGGTGAAAGGACGATATAAAGCTTTCCAAGCTTCAAGAAGCACTTTCGGACCGAGGGTCGTTCCTACAGGGCTAGAGGCTCGTCCCGGGAAGTTACTCAGCAAGCCCACTTTCATCACCATGGGGGAAAGTCAAGACCCCCAGGCAGCAGCAGAGGAGCCCATGCCAGATGTGGCTCATCAGGAAACCGAAGACCCATGCAGTCAAGTAAGTGGTTTACCTCACATCCCTCAAAATTGGTCAGATATAACCTCAGACAAATGGGTGCTTCAGATTTTCAAAAGGGGTTTACAAATCCCTCTCATTCAGTTTCCTTTCCAGAGTCAAGCTCTGGGCAGAGAGGTAAATCCAGTTCTAGATTCCTCTCTTTCCCAGGTATTAGCTCAGAGAAAAATAGAATTGGCAGATTTGTCAATTTCAGGTTGGATCAGTCCCTTGTTCCCTATTCCAAAATCAGACGGCACATGGAGACCAGCACTAAACGTCAAGGCTTTGAATGCTTTCCTGAAGAGGAAAAGGTTCAGGATGGAAGGTTTAACAGACCTCCCAGGCCTATTGCAGAAAAATGTCTTCTGCATAAAATTAGACCTCAAAGATACTTTCCATTCAGTTCCTATCGCTATGAAACACAGGTGCTTTCTCAGATTCCGCTGGAAGGAACAGATACATCACTGGACTGTAATGGTGTTTGGCCTATCCAACGCACCTTATACATTATCCAGGATAATGAAAGCTATTATATCCCACATCAGGCAAAGAAGATTTCTATGCCTTTATTACTTAGACGACATCCTGTTGTTGAATCCAGAGGTAGATACTCTCGTTCAGCAGAGAGATTACCTAATTTCCTTATTACACGACCTAATGTTTATTGTAAATCTGCACAAATCCATACTAGTCCCTACTCAGAATATCCTTTTTCTGGGTTTCATGCTGAACACTATGGATATGACCTTGGGTGTTCCCCGAGACAAACGGGGAAAAATCCTAGCTCAGATAACTTAAAACACAGATGGTCCCTAAGAGAATCAGGGATTGGATACTGTCCGCTATGTCTGCAGCGGGTATTGATGTCTCGGATTTTAAGGGTCATTCTATCAGAGGGGCCTCAGCTTCAAAAGCAGCAGCGAGAGGCCTTCCTCTTCCCATTATCCTTAAAGCTGAAAGATGGTCTTCCAGAAAAACTTTTGTTAAGTTTTACTGGAGGCCAACTGAAGTGGAACGTTAACAGTTCCTTAGGACCACCACCAGGTGCGTGCTATTCAACCCACTAGCTTTGCTAGGTGGTTATGCCTCACAGAGGGAAAAACTAGCGTTTGCAGGAATCGATGACCTGCAAACTTTCTTTGTCCTAGGGATAAGCATAACCACCTAGCAAAGCGCCCATCCCTTCCTCCCCATGTTTATTTATATTGCGTGGTGGTGGCAGGGTATTTCTCTGGTTTGGGAATCTTCTAATTAACCCCTTAAGGACACATGATGGAAATATTCCGTCATGATTCCCTTTTATTCCAGAAGTTGTGTCCTTAAGGGGTTAAAGTAATTTTGTGTGTTTGTTTTCTTTTTCACTTATATTTATTCTCTTTATCTTTACAGATTACAACCGGCTACCTAGACACGATCACCAAGCCAAGGACCCTCCTAAATAGTTCTGGAAGCTCTTTGATTATGAGTTATACTATACTAATATTTCTCTCAGAGGCTGTTTTGTTTTTCACCTTCATGATTAAAGATTGTTTTGTTACATTTTCATATGTTACTATTATCTGTCAGTATTTCAGAAATGTTTCTTATCTATTGTTACTTTATTATATTGCCTTTCCACTCTATTGACATAACCCTTTCATAGGAGTAAGTTCATGTTTGGTTGAGTAAATAAATTGTTACCTCACTTACATTGTCAGTGGTGCTCTTTTCCTTTATTATGTTTAGTACCATGTACATTGATATCTATCCTACATTAGGGGATTTCTTTGTCTCTGGATGAGTTAACCATCTGCAGTATCCTGATTTTAAAATCTGAGGTGATCAGGTCTGCTGCGAGCTACACGGCTGTCCTGATCACCTGATTGGCTAAAACACTGTTGCTGTGCAGGAGCACAGCACGAGTGTTTTTAGCGCGGCAAAATATTTCTCCGGGAGGCTGCCACATACCCACTAGCTTTGCTAGGTGGTTATGCTTATCCCTAGGACAAAGAAAGTTTGCAGGTCATCGATTCCTGCAAATTCTAGTACACTTTTATAAATTTACCTATTTACACCCCCACATGGCTTTCATACGAACAACAGATCTTGTTACTTCCTGTTTTGTTTGGCTCAGTGGCACTAAACTCGAGGCAGACAATTGCTTAGAGCACCTGTCTTATAAAGATGTCTCATGAGCTGCATTAGAAAGTCTATGATTGAACAGCCACTGAGTTTGGGTTGGGGAATAAGGGGAGGGCGTACAAAGACAAGAAAATTGTATCTATTGGAATCTGTTTTTAGATATGCCACAAATGTAAAAATGTATAATTAAATGCATGCATATTATCTTTCCAGCTAATTGTGTGTTTTTTTCATTTCTATATCTAAAGGACTATCTTGTGTGACTGAGCAACGGTACTTATCTGGTACTACTCCAAAGTTATTCTCTTCCGTAGCTTACCAGAAACATCAAGAACAGAGGTAAGCACAGGCGACAAAATATATGGTCTTCAAAGCTTCAGTTTTGTTTGTTTAGAAAAATCACATTGATATCAAGTCTTTTGAGCTACATCCCAGGAATGGTAGATTCTTCCCCTACGTTTATTCACTAAACCCAGAATTGTGGTGAATTCAAATTAAATTGGCAAAATGTACTTTAAAGTCGTCAAGTGACCATAGCAGAAATTTTACCAAATCAACTATTTTTGCCCAAATTTTGCCATTCGGATTTCAGTCTGTTACAGTCTGGGGGTTAATAAATAGCCCATCGATCCAACTTAAAATATGCCAGTAATGTGCCATATTTTCTTCTTTTAAAGAATATAGTGGGTTATTAGTGATGAAAACAGCTCTCTCACCAAAAATAAACAATCTAATCTACTCTAGCTCTCAGAGTCAGAAGAATCTCTTTGTTTTTGTTTTTTTTACTTTTATTTTACTTGCTTGTTTTAATTTTTAATTAATGTATAACAAAAAAAATCATGTGCTTTTTTAAAAAAATCTTTATTTTTCTTTGTGCTTGTGAAGAAATATAACTTTTGATCTTGCAATGCCACAACAGCTACTGCAGGCTTATCTTGGGGTGTGAGGATGTACCTTGCCCTGGTGCCTCGTGGAGCTCCGCCGTATTGATCCGCCATGGCCCTTTTGGGTTCTGGCTGCGGGTATGGTGTGTTGATAGGCTATATTGGCTTTGCCTGCTGTAGGCCGAGTATAGTTCTCTCTAGTGCACCTCTGTAGGTTGTGTGGCTGTGTACCGCGTGTGGAGGCTCTCCGGGCATGTCGGTACCTGGGTTGGCGGCGTTATATGTGCGGTCCGCTGTCTTGCCGTCTGGGCAGAGCCCCTGCGACGCCCTGCTGCTTCTTACCAGTCAGTGGTGTGACTGTGCCACTCGGAACCGGTCTGCGTGCAGGTGAGGTGGTGGGCTGTCGAGTGACCATTGTAGCTGCCTGGGTCTGTGCCTGTGTGGTCCACCACCACTTCCAAAAGAGGTCGAAGGCTTTCGCTATGCGGTCCTCATGGGGGGACTCGCTTGTCAGCCTCGCTGATAGCTGTTGGGTGAGTGGAGGCCTGGTCGGTAGCCGCCATCTTGGCTTCTGAGTGTGTGTAGCGTGAGGTCGTGTAGGCTTGTAGGGTCCCGAGGCCCGTGCGGTTTGGATCGGGAAAACCCCCTCCGGTTCATAGGGGGGGAACAAGGGCTCAGCAGGGAGTCTGCTGGATAGGCTAGCAGCAGGAGAGCAGCCATCTCTCCCGCGCCGCCCTTGTGAGTAGGCCGCATGTTGACACCAAGCGGTATACCGGCTTTTAATGTGTCTACGTGTAGATCTCGGTGTCCGCTACCCGGTATCAACTTTCAGTAGCTTGGTCAAGGTGCCTATTATTACATAATCTGCTTTAATTGCCTTTTGGCTCAGGAGCTGTTGCTGTGAGCGTCTGCTCTGCTCAGCGGTCAGGCCCCGCCCCCCTCTTTATATTTTTAATGAGAGTTTTGTTTTTCTTAAAATACATATAAATGTACATGTGTAAGGGGTAGCACACATCAGAACACCACCTCTTATTTTTTTGTTCTTGAGAACCCCAACATTCTCAGTCTAGCCCTCCTCAACGTAAGAGTAACCTGATTTCTCTTCACCTCCAGTGACTGTTCAGCTAATATCCATTCTCAACTCTCATCCATCCCTACCTCCTGTCCCTCTCTGGCTATCTCCTAATATAATGCTACCCTCACATCTGCTTTGGACTCTGAAGCCCTGTTCCAAACATACACATTACGGAGGATCTACCTCCAACAGTGGCACACTAAGTCAGCCCGCTACCTGCAGAGATACTCCAGTTCAATTGAACTCTGCTGGATGAAGTATTGCAACTTGTCAGACTTTCTCCATAATAAATTAATCTTGCGTTCGTACAGCGCAGCCTTCACCATAAACTGTCATACTTTTTCTTCAACTCTTTTCCTTGCTGTGGCCACCCCCCAAGGGAAACTTTTAGCCAATAACTTTTCATGCTATTTTATTGACAAGATTAACCAGTTAAGAAAATCATTTTTCCCACTTCATTTCTTTTCCTCTCAATCGCACTTTAATTGCAGTCCGTACCGTTCCGACCCTTCCTGGCTACTGAACCGGAGGTGGCTGTGCTTCTCCTTTCGTCTTTCCCCAACACTTTTCCACCTAATTACATCCCATTTTATCAGATGTCTCTCCCCCTATCTTGTATCATAATGCATATCTTCAACTGTTCTCTTTCTTCGGGCATTGTCCCTGCTCCCCTTAAACATGCTACTGTTGTAGCATGTCGACCCGTCTTCCTTTTCCAACTATTGTCCTATAACCCTGCACCATTTCTCAATGTTTCTGGAACAACTTGCCTTAACCCGTCTGGCTTGCTTTCTCAATTCAAACTTTCTCCTTAACCCTCTTCAATTTGGCCTCCGACCCCCACCCCCCTCTACTCTACTGAGACCTCACTGGTTAAAGTAACTTACCATCTAATTGTGGCTAAATCCTAAGGCCACAATTGTGTATGGTTATGTAAACTTTATATTTGCTATGTGCCACTAGTGGTTTACATACTTGACGTTTTGGGGACATGCTGATACTTGTGTGTGGAGAGTGTTAGGGGCTCAAGCCCATCTATGTGTTATATTATGTTTTAATTCGTTTTCCCCTTGGAATACTTCAAGGAAAATCTGCCACAGGACACATCACATCTCACTACATGGGAAACCCACAAGAGTGTTATCAGAGTGGCCTTTATTTCCCAAAGTTCGACACTTAAGAAATCTAAGGAGAGTGCCATGTGTCATTAGACTAAAAAAAAAAAAAAAAATAGGGAACCTAACTTAGACTCACAAACCGTCACAAGACGGGTCTCTTTTAAGGGATTTAACAGAGGCTTAGAGCAAACAATCAATTATAATGCAGGTTGTAACGGATCACCTGGCACCCCGACTGGGTACCTCCGTTGAAGGATGCTCCTAGCACTTCCTGAGGACTCCAAGCACTGCAGCAGACACCACAATCACCGAACCAGAGAAGCGTTTACCTTCTCTCAAGCATATGAATGCTGTAGACAGTTGAATAGGAACCATACGAATAGGTTTACTCTCCTAGCAGTCAAACTGGAACAGCATACAATAAATCCTTCCCCCAATAATGAGACGACACTTCACTTTGAGGGTTAAAACAGGAACTCTCTGTACTGGCACATACAGCCTCTTTTATTCACAATCCACAAAACATAGTACTGCCCACAGGGTTTTGCAGAACCACCAATAAACACATTACAACACATACAATGCAAGTACAGCAGCCAATCAGACACAATGGGAAAATAGAAACACACCCAGCATATTCCTCCCCTCTGCTTAGGAGATAATTGAGTCAATTACTGTATCTACTCAATTATCTCCAAGCTGAAAAGTTACTTTTTGTACATTTTTATAACTTTGTGAGTTAACATCGTACATACATAAAACTTACATTTTCATAATCAATCCATTCAGGGGAACAACATATGAAAAATGGCACGAATCAGACCAGGGGTTCAAAAGTTAAGGGAAAGTCCTTTGTGACTAAATGAAGCATGGCTTTCCGGCCCAAACCAGTTTCAGAGTCTTCTATCCTGGAGGGTAATTCAATTATCTCCCAGGACAGACACAAGACTCCATTAAGCACATGGTTGCATAAAATACATAAAGTCACATTTTATACATAAAACACAGACATGTCACATATCCCCAGATAGCTGGGATCTGAGCGCACAAAACTACCGAATAGCGCTCAGATCCTATTCACACAGTTCAATTGCCATGGAGCCGAAGTCTTTAACTACACGAATGGGCTCCATGGCATAGCTATCTGGGTTAATAACTTCACATAAAGTCTGGTCCATAGTCCAAAGGCAAGAGGCGGGCAAGCAGCCCCCTCCAAGGACACGTGGCGAGGCCGGTTTCGCCAC